GCAGCCTGTGCCTGACCCCAGGGCCCGCAGCCACAGGTTGCTGGCCATTCCACCTGCACGCGGGAGGTGGCCTTTGCAGCTCTGGACCAGCTCTGGCCACCTTCCCCACCATCTGATGGGCTGAACCCCACCTTTCCCCTGAGGCCCGAACTCCTGTAAGTGTGTCCTTCCTCACGCCCGAGGGTGCCATGGAGAGTGTACTTAGAGCTCACGGTTACCCCTTTATCGTTGTTAGTCATTTATAGAGCTCGCCCTCCTGGGAGCAAGCCCACACCTTTCCTACCCCTTCTTCTTCCCCCACAGGGGTGCATCTCCTAAACCCCAAAGGTCCCCGCGAGATTTGCAACCAGGGGAGCAATGGGCAGCAGCAGCTTATCTGGGTACCCCTGACCCTATCCCGAGGGCCCCCTTTTCTCTGACTTCCCAGTGAGCAGAAGCAGCCGGCCTTGGTCAGTGTCTCTCCTGTAACCTCTCTAGAGAGCAAAGCCGCCCGGCCAGGCTCCCCTGCAGCTTCTTCTATCCGCCGCCCTTCCCGGTTCCAGTCCCAGCCTTAACAAATGTCATCTAAGGAAACCACCGACTCTTTATAGTAAATGTCCCCGACTTAACCAGCTTGTTACCAGAGGGGTTACAAAAGCCTCAGAGACGTTTCTCTGTCTCCCTTCCTCCCTCTGCTCCCTCCCCTTTTCCGCCACACTCTGCGGGAGCCACACCTCAGGTGCTTTTGAAGTAAACAAGAATCACCATAAAACATAATGTCAGGGCATGGCTTCCAGGGTGACTGCGAGGCCAGCTCTCAGTTGGCAGGTGGGCTGGCTGGAACAGAAGCCCGCTGGCTGGCTTCTTCTTGGTTGTGTCAGCCAGAGCATCTGGCAACAGGCAGACTCCCAGACCAGAGCTGTCTGGCGTGAGGACTGAAGCCTGTGGGAGAGGATGCAAGGCTCCCAGGTCCAAAGTCCTAAAGGCAGGGAAGCAGTTGTGTGAAGGGGCCTGGACTGGGCTTGGAAGTCCTAGCTTCCTGGCTCAGTATTGCCAGGTGCCTGCTGTGTGGCTTTGGGCAAGTTACTCAACCTCTCTGAGCCTCAGTATTCTTAGCTCAAAGTATAAATAACATGGTCTCCCCTAAGGATGTGTCAAAACAAAAATTTTTCAGGAATGTTTCAAAATCATATCTCATTCTGAATATGGGGAAAACCAAAAAGAGGCTATGAAAATATTAAGGACTTTATTATATCAGACACCTCACATTGTTAGGGCTTGGTGTCTATTAAAATGTAGTCCTTCTAGGGTGCGATGTTCATGTCGATTACAAAACTCTGAAAATCTGCATATTCTTCTCTATCTACCTTATCTCTGCTTTATAGACACGTAAAGAGATTAACCCAGAAACAGAATTTATTAATTTGCATGAGTATAGTATATATAGGCAAGTGACATTATAATGATTTTTATAGCTGTTTTCTGTCCTTGCCTGAAAAGTTAGGTCAGTGTTGCATAAATGGAGAGGATGGAGAAAAATTGGGGTGCCACATAATTGCAGGTCGTCACGGGTACTCGAGGAAAGGGAAGACTAGCTGGGTGCTGCGTGCTGGGTGCTGGGCGCTATCCCAACGCGCCCGTTCTCTGGAATCGGCGTGTGTTATAGAACCATTATGAGCATGTTGACATTTTGATCATTAAATGACCTTTTAAGACATTAGTGGAGCTCGGGCAAAAGAGGCCCTTTGTAGCGACAGTCAATTTCCTGGGGGGCTGCTCCATGCTGGAGACCCACCCCCACGGTTTCTAATCTGGGTGATCATCCCATGAGGGGGGCTGTTAGCTCCAGCCTGTAGGCGAGGGGGCGAAACCTCAGCGGCTGTGGGGGACCTGGTGTCCCCGCTGCGAATCCTGCCCATCTTTCCCAGCCATTGCTGTGGCAACCCGCCTGGTGCAGGTGTCTGCTGCCGGGACCTGGCCTCAGTTGGCCTGCCGAGTCACCGTGGTTACTGTTTTGCCGAATCCCTTGAAAGTACATTGCAGACCTCCTGACCCCTCCTGACCACGAGACCATATCTCACCCAGGAAACCTAACACGAATCCGGGACAACCCACTCAACCGCAGTCCACCTGCGCGTTTCCTCACCAATCCCCCACCCCCCGCCCCGGGCAGCTCTTTCCCCCTGGATGCAGGGGCCAATCCAGGGGCAAACCTGCCTTTGGTGACCGTGTCTCTCCCGTCCCCTCCAATCTTGACAGTGACATCTCTGAAGAGTCCAGACGGACCAACTGCCCCACACCTGGGCGGGCTTGCTTGTTTCCTCCTGATGGGACGATGTACTCACCAGTGAACATCTGGGGGCACAATTTCACAAAAGTGCCGCCAATACTGTCTCCCCCACGGCCGGGGAGAGCGTGGCCTCCCTGCC